AATAAGCACTAAATAATATAAACCATTGAAATTAAAACATGAGAAAAATACTTAATTTTCACCTAACTAAATTGATGTAAACAATGACATCAATCTTAAGAAATCTTTTCTGATGTGGAAGATCAGTTAACAACTGCAGCCACAGAGCATACTCGGAATTTCAAGAGACTTTAAAAACGTGGCTCGAATACCAATTGTTGAATCAAAATAGAGTAAAAACTCTAATTGATCGAGAAGAAAAAAAAACTCTCTTTAGAATAATCTCACAAAATTGCAAAAGGGGAGAACTCTTAAGAAAGCTTTCAAATACTTATAATTAAGCTTTGATTGTTGGATGATAAAACTCAAATACAAGTAAGGTATTTATAGGTTACAAGAAACAATCTAAACCACTCATTAAAATAAGCACTAAATAATCTAAACCATTGAAATTAAAACATAAGAAAAATACTTAATTTTCACCTAACTAAATTGATGTAAACAATGACATCAAAACTAAATTGATGTAAGCAATGACATCAAATTAATTTAGGTGTGAACTTATTTAGGCTAATATTGAATTTTCAACACTTAGTATAGTGGAAGAATATGCAGGGAACATAAGAGGATTGTTGGGGTTAAGGTTTGATTATGAATTTCGCAAAGCAATGATAAAGATGAGTAGCATTGAAGTGAAAATTGGGTCCGAGGGAGAGATTAGGAAGATATGTTCAAAGATTAATTAATCACTCATTGCATTATTTAGCAGTAACTAATGTTCTATGAATTGAACTGATGACTGTTAAATCAAGTGGCAAATTGGAAAAAGTGTTTTACAATTTGAATTTTGATCGTCTTTGAATGGAAAATATAATTGCGTCGCCTGAGAGATTCGAACTCTTGCGGGATGAACCCATGTACTTAGCAGGCACACGCCTTAACCACTCGGCCAAAGCGACTTGATGTTATGCACAATATTTATGAAAATAATTAATTATGTAATAAAATTTCTCTATGTTGACATGTATTACAAAAGTTCTCTATTTTGCAAATCTCATTCTTGATGCCAAAAAATAGAAAAAGAAAAAAAACCCCATATATGGTTGTATGTTATTTCTAAATACAATCTAAGATAAATTATGTAAAATTTAAATGAAGAAATTTTTTGAATTAATCAAAATGATACTTATTGATCACTATATTTTTGTAACTCTATAATTTGTCTAAAACCATGAATTGGAAATGCTTGATACTCTTCATGATTGAGACTTAATTATATTATGTAATTAAGCAATGGGGTTTAGGACGGCAGCAGGCTTCCTAGTTGGTAGCTTGTCACCATTCAGATGAAGAATATAGTTTTCTTGGTAGAATAATGTCGATTCCCGTTTGGAGTTTGCGTATAGCCGCCAAGGGATGCTGTTTTTCTTACAAGGTAGAATATTTATACATCGATTCTATAAAAAAATTCATCTTCTTCCTCCCTTATTTAACCACAATAGCTCTAGGTGGGCTCTCAGCAGCAGCTATTCCATTGTCAGAAGCTTCAGAATGGAAATTATCAACAGGTACATTACTATCAAGAACCACGTAGATGGTGCGCCACAAGACTCTGATTTCAAGCTCAAGTCTTCACCCCTTTCTCTTTCCCTGGACCCTGGCTCCCATGAAGTCATTGTCAAAAATCTCTACGTTTCAATCGATCCTTACCTGTTAAACCGCATGAAAAGCTATAGCTTCTCACAACAGAGTTCAGCCTATGCAGTCGCCATTACTCCCGGTGAGGTAAATTAGTCCGACATGCCCCCCTCCGCCTCAGCTAAATGAATCTCTGTCGATAATTTTTTTTATACCATTATTTTCTGTTTTGGAACAGGATATTGATGCTTATGGTGTTGGCAAAGTTGTGGCTTCTGGGAACTCTAAGTTTGACAAGGGTGACATTGTTGCTGGCCTCCTCAAGTGGGGAGAGTTCACGGTGGTAAAACCCGGTGGCATGTTGAATAAGCTTGACCTCATGGGCTTTCCCTTGTCTTACCATGTTGGAATTTTGGGTAAGCCACGATTTCATTTTGTATATGCCATTAGCTCATCACTGATTATTCTCTGCATTTGTTCAAAGCCATATGTGCTTTGTTTCAGGGTTCAGTGGACTGACAGCCTATGCTGGATTGTTCGAGATATGTAAGCCAAAGAAAGGGGAGAAAGTGTTTGTTTCTGCTGCTTTGGGATCAGTTGGGAACTTGGTTGGCCAATTTGCTAAAGTGTTGGGTTGTTATGTGGTTGGATGCGCTGGAAGCAATGCAAAGGTCAGCTTAATTAACATAATGTCCATCGTTCATGGTTTAGTTGGATTGAAGAATCGTAGCACAAGGCGATAACCCTAAAATGTTTATACTAAATTTGTCAGGTAGCATTGCTTAAAGAACAGCTTGGCATTGATGATGCATTCAACTACAGGGAAGAAACTGATTTAAAGTCAACTCTCCACAGGTATTTCCCGGATGGAATTGACATATACTTTGACAACGTTGGGGGACATATGCAAGAAGCAGTATTGAGTAACATGAACATCAATGGTCGGATAGCTGTTTGTGGGGTGATTTCAGAGTATACAGATTGCGGAAAACGAGCTGCGCCGAGTATGATCGATGTTATTTATAAGAGAATCAAGATTCAAGGATTTCTGGCCGGTGATTACTTGAACCTTTTTGGTGATTTCCTTTCTACAACTTGTGATTACCTTCGGACAGGTAAAATTCAGCCACTGGAAGACATCTCGGATGGCGTTGAGAGTATCCCTTCTGCTTTGATCAATCTCTTTGGAGGACAAAACATTGGGAAAAAAATTGTTAAAATTGCACAAGAGTGAAAACCAGTTCTTGCTTGAACTAATAATTTGCTCCGGTGTTGCATGGAGAAAGAAATATGCTTCTGTGATGACGAAATATAAAGTAAACAAATCATGAAGGTTTAATTGTCCCCATAAGCTTTGAATTTTTTAAAATTTAAACACGTGGCATTGTTAAATTCAAGGTTCTAATCTAATGTTTAACCCATAACATATGTTGGTACATTTGTGGACGTGATAATTGCTTTGGTTTGAAGACGCCACATAAATACTTAGAGTTGTTTCAAGGCTTCCAAATTCTACGCTGCACACCCACTAAAGCTTCATTTTAATGTTTTTTCAAACCTTCTCCAATCGGTCTTTTGGCAATGTTTACTTTAAAACAATCAGCTTAAGTTCAACGAGTCAAAGAAAAATACGAACGTGCCATTTAACTCAAAATTCCCTAATTAACGCCTTAAAGTTCAACTCCCAAGTTTCCATATTTATATCCCATCTTTCTAGTCCTTGCCCCCAACAAAATCACCACCTTGCAGCTCTTCCCTTGGCCCCCATATTTCCGGTACAAAACCCATCTCTACCTCTCCTTTGTCGTCCCCATCGGCGCCCTTTACACCCTCTCCCTTTGGCTTTCCAACTCGGCCAACATTTATCTCTCTGTTTCCTTCATCCAAATGCTCAAAGCTCTCATGCCGGTTGCCGTTTACTCCATCGGCGTTCTCTTTCGTAAAAATGCTTTCAAGTCTTCCACCATGGCTAACATGCTCGCTATTTCTTTTGGTGTCGCCATCACTGCTTTTGGAGAAGCCAAATTTCGATACCCGGGGTGTTTTGTTACAGCTTGGAGCTGTAGCTTTTGAAGCCACGAGGCTGGTTTTGATCCAAATACTCCTTACTTCGAAAGGAATCAACCTTAACCCGATTACTTCCCTTTATTACGTCGCGCCTTCTTGTTTCGTCTTCTCTCTTGTTTCCTGGGTCGCAGTGGAACTACCTTTACTTAAAGAAAACTCAACTTTCCGTTTCGATTACTTAATCTTCGGGACCAACTCCTTTTGCGCTTTCGCTTTGAACCTGGCGGTGTTTTTGTTGGTCGGGAAGACATCTGCGTTGACAATGAACGTTCTGGGAGTTGTCAAAGACTGGTTGCTGATAGCTTTTTCGTGGTCGGTGATTAAAGACACGCTGATGCTGTTAATTTGTTTGGTTAGGGGGTTGCGTTTCTGGGGGTTGCTTATTGTAGTCATTCGAAGCTGAAAGCGCTTAGAGAGAAGGAAGCAGCAGAGAGGAAGGATGAAGAAAGTGGGAGATTGCTGGATCAAAAAGAAGGGGATACCAGAAGAGATTAATCACAGGGTTAATCCTTGTTTTTTTTTTAAAAAAAAATCTCTGCATGCTCTGCTTATGGTCCAGTTATGTATTGTCAATGGCGTCGATTGGCAGCCCATGTTGTTTTAGACAAAAAAAATAGAATGATTTATTATATATCGCTAATTTTACTTGTGCTTGTGGATCTATATATTTTACTTAGGTTTGAATCAACGGTATTTTTTAGGGTTTTTTGACACTACGTACATTTTGTCAACATCAAGTCATAAGTACAGAAAACCACATTGAGTGTGGCACATTGGAGTGAACGTTGCAACCCAATAATACTCTCTCAACACGCTGCTCCGTCATTGTACACTCGGGACTGTTAAAAGGATAATCTTGCTCATATTTCGTCTACCTCACATAATAGTTTTTCGTTGTGATTTTCTACTCAGGAACGAGCAGTACAGTGAAAGAGCTGGCTCAAAGATCACCACGATATGCTGAAGCTCTCCTTCGATAAACTGGTTCATCTGTCCCTTTACCCCCAATCAAATATACTGTTAATTTTGTTTTCATTTGAGCCACTGTCTCTTATGTAACTGTCATGATTACCTGCCAACTCCGTTATATCGTCAACCAACGATCAACAATCTTAGGGAACTTGCAATTATATAAACATGTTCACCAATTGCTCGACGAAATTCCTTGCTCAAAGCCAGCCCTCATTTGCCCTGTGAACCAGTCTCTATCCACTTGTCTACGGGCTAATCTCCCTTTTGATGCCTTTAAAAAGTTCAAAGAACTCCTTAAATCTGGCCAATTTAATGTCATCGAAGAAGTTACTCTGGCTCTTGCTCTTAAGGGGTCTTGTGGTAATTCAAAACAAGGGACGCAGGTTCACAAATTTGCTATCACCTCCGGGCTCATGTCCTTTATTACGGTTCCAAATTCATTGATGAACATGTACTCTAAATCTGGGCAGTTTGATAAGGCTTTGTGCATCTTTGAGGGCTTAAATGATCCCAATATGGTTTCATGGAATACTCTGCTTTCGGGTTTTCAAAGAAGTGAAGAAGCGTTTAATTTTGTTCTGAGGATGAATCTTAATGGGGTTCTTTTCGATGCAGTAACTTGTACCACAGCGCTTTCTTTCTGTTTCGACCTCGATGGTTTTCTTTTCGGGTTGCAGTTGCATGCTCTTGTAATGAAGTCTGCATTTGATTGTGACGTCAATGTGGCAAATGCCCTTATAGCTATGTATTCTAGGTGGAAACGTTTAGATGAAGCCCAAAGAATGTTTGATGAAATGCCGAACAGAGATTTGGTTTCATGGACTGCGATCCTCTCGGGGTACAGCCAGGATGAGAGTTCTGGGTTAGAAGCGATTTGGACATTCATTGAAATGGTAAAACAAAGAATGTACCTTGATTATGTGCCATTTACTGTGGCAGTTTCAGTCTGTGCTCGTCAGAGGAGCTTAGAGGTTGGAAGACAAACTCATGGTCTATGTATAAAAGAAGGGTATGGTACGCATGTTTCTGTTTGTAATGTTTTAATGTCAATGTATGCAAATTGTGAGGTAGTTGAAGATGCAAAATCGCTATTCAGAAGAATGAATGAGTGTAACGTGATCTCATGGACTACAATGATTTCTATTGACGACGAGTATGCTATACACCACTTCAATGAAATGCGATCAAATCATGTTTCTCCAAATGAGGTTACATTTGTTGGATTGATCCGTGGAATTACTGTTAGGAAATTAGTGAAAGAAGGCCAAATGGTTCATGCGTGTTGTGTAAAGAGTAATTTTTTGTCAGAATCAAAAGTTTGCAGCAGCCTTATCACCATGTATGCTAACTTTGAGCTGATACAAGACTCGATTAAGGTTTTTGAGAAACTTGAATCCAAAGGTATTGACTTGTGGAATGCTTTAATTTCTGGCTATTCTCAAAATGGAATGTTCACGGAAGCTTTGAGGACATATTTATCAGCAATTAAAGAATGTAAGCCAGACCAGTACACATTTGGTAGTGTCTTGAATGCAATTGGTTCTTGTGGACATATATCTCTAAAACATGGTCAACGGTGCCACTTACATTTGATAAAGGCTGGATTTGATACCAATCCTATAGTGTCCAATGCTCTTCTGGATATGTATGCAAAGCGTGGGAGCATTTCTGAGGCTCGGAAAGTTTTCAAAGGGATTCCTCAAAAAATCCAATCTACTTGGACATCAATTATATCTGCCCATGCCAGGCATGGAGACTACAATTCAGTGATAGCTTCATTCCAAGAGATGAAAAACCAAGGAGTGAAACCTGACTCAATCACCTTTCTTTCCACACTAACAGCCTGTGGCCGAAATGGAACAATTGATATGGGTCAACTACTGTTTAAATCAATGCTGAGAGAATATAAGATTAAACCTTCTTCTAAGCATTATTCTTGTGTGGTGGATATGCTGGCTCGTGCAGATAGATTGGAAGAGGCAGAGAGGCTGATGGATTGCAGTCCAGAAGGGCCAGAATTGTCTATGCTGCAAAGCTTGCTGTGGGCTTGTAGGATACATGGAGATGTAGATATGGGTGAGAAAATAGCTGATATTTTGATGGAAATGGAGCCCAACGAGTCAGGTTCGTATGTGTTGATGTCAAACTTGTATGCTGAGAAGGGGAAGTGGGAGATGGTAGCAGAAGTAAGGAAAATGATGAGACAGAGAGGAGTGAGAAAGGAAGTGGGATTTAGTTGGGTGGATACTGGTGACATCAACAGTTCATTGTATTTGCATGGATTCTCATCAGGAGACAGATCCCACAAACAGTCTGAAGAGATCTGCAAAATGGCTGAATGTCTAGGTTTACATATGAAACTTTTGTGATAGACAGGCGAAAATTAAAGAAAACAGAATCAAACAATTTGAAGCAACACAGATCCAAATACAATTCAATAAAATTATAAAAGCCTCCATTGAAATTCCTTCAATTTTACATCATTTGCTCAGAAAGCAAATCCCATAATTTTCAGACATTAACCAACTTGAAAGGAAACAGCCTAAGCTCTCTCTCCTCTAATCCTCCTAGCAAGCTGGATATCTTTAGGCATGATTGTAACTCTCTTAGCGTGAATAGCACAGAGATTCGTATCCTCAAAAAGCCCGACGAGATAAGCCTCAGCAGCTTCTTGAAGTGCCGCGACAGCGCTGCTTTGGAACCTCAAATCAGTCTTGAAATCCTGAGCGATTTCCCTAACCAGCCTCTGGAATGGAAGTTTCCTGATTAAAAGTTCAGTGCTCTTCTGGTACTTCCTGATTTCTCTCAAGGCCACGGTTCCTGGCCTGAAACGGTGAGGCTTCTTCACTCCTCCGGTTGCCGGAGCTGACTTGCGAGCAGCCTTCGTGGCTAGCTGCTTACGTGGAGCTTTGCCACCGGTTGATTTCCTAGCTGTTTGCTTAGTACGGGCCATTTAATTATTTAACAAGGAACTAAGAGTGACTGTTGAGAGCAGCTGAATTATCTAAGAAGATGCCTTGATTGTTTGATGGAGAAAATTTGGGGAGATATATATCGAGGGAATTTGCAGAAGCGGGAAGAAGTGTTGGGAAAATATTTCAATGGTAGAATGTGAACCGTAGATTAAATGGGTTATCAACGACTGTTAATTTGGTAAATGTATGATCCGTGATATATGCAGGCAGCCAATGAAGTTCATTTACAGTACTTCACATGACTTATGACCATGATCAAATATAGGGTAAATAACATAAATGGTATCCCAATTATAGAGTATTGATTTGTTGAGTTTTTTTACTATTAAAAATTATAAAAAATCTTTTACTATAGGGTCTTGTTTTGTTGAGTCCCCAATTATTAAAAGTTACAGAATTATTATCTGACTATTTATATATTCCAAACTATATGTTTTTCATTAAAAAATTGGTGACCGTCTAAGTAGACATTAACCTATTGGTTTGGATATGATAAAATATAGTCCTAAAATTATTTGAGTTGTATTTTATAGATCAACTCTTCGTTTACACTAGGAGTGTGCAAAAAAATTCGATTTAATCAATTTGATATGTTGTTTCGGTCAAAAAATTGGATATTGCTCCATTTTTTATTTTTGGTTATCTGAGGGGGAAATCGAATAATTGAATCAAATACAGATTGGTTATATCTTATTTTTGGGTTATCTTGAAATCTAATAAAAAATAGGTCTTTAGAGTTTAGATAATCTCTAACCCAATAAGTGAATAACCCACTAACCTACTAAGCCTCTAGCTCGAAAAAATTAAGATTTTTAATTGATTATCATGTATGAATATATATATAAAAGAATATAAAATATGTTGCATAATTTTTATGAATTTTAAATATAAAATTTTCGTCAAATTAAGTTTTATGTTCGGATTAAGATATTCGAATATCAAATCTGAAAATTCAGATATCCAGAAAATCAAATATATGATATTTTTAGATCGAATATAGATTGCAATTTTAATGATCCGAATTTTTGGATATTTTAAATTTCATATCAAATAATATTTGATATATGAAAATGCACACCCCTAATGTACATTATGTCATCAAACCAATGATTGAAAGCAACAACAATGGCAATATATATTATTAAAATATGATTTTATCATATATCAGTCAATATATTAACGTCTAGCTCAGACGACTATTAATTTTTTAACAAAAAATGATAAATTTAGAACATGTGAGCAATCAGATGACTCAATAAATTAGCACCTTATAGCCGGGAGACTATTTTGTAACTTTTATAGTCAAGTGACTCAAAAAAATAATTCCCTATAATTGGGGACCATTTGTACACTTTACCCTAAATTATATTGTATCAGTCTTTCACTTCTCTATTAAAAGATTCCAGTTTACAAGTGTAGATATTTTGGCTTAATACATACTTTAGCCCTTCTATTTTAATGAAATTCTAACATGACCCTTTTAATATGTTATAAGTCAATTTAATCTCTTCATTTTCAATTCATTATCACTTTAGTCTTTGAACGATTTCCTTTTAAAAATGGTGATGTTGTATAATTAACTTCAATCACATCTAAAAAAAATATTTATTACGCATTGCAGAAACTAATTGGGTCACAATTTTTTTTTGTTAAAAATATCAAAAGATTGAAGTCATAAAGAATTAAAAGTTGATGAGCCAAATTGATAAAAAAAATAAAATAAAAAAGGAGTGGTTGGTTAATAGTTTTGCCTCTTTCGGCGTTAGGTTTCGGAAATACAGACCACAGCAAAGCTTAGCATTTTGCTCCATACAGCGAAACAAAGTGGAGATGGCGATGGAGATGGAGAGCAGAAACCTTTTCATGTAGACGTGGGAAATCTTTTGGCTTTTAACCCTTTTCATAGCTTTCCTTCGCTCCCCGCTTCCAGGTTTATTTTACTCTCTCTCTTTTATAATTATAGTTTTGTATCAAATTAGCTGAAAGAGGTTTCCTTCTTTTGTTTCTCATTTGGATTTTATCGATTTCTGCTATGGGTTCTGAATTTGATGCTATGAATGGACATACTTTGGGATTGGGGACACTTGGTTTCCTGCAAACCTAGTTTTGTTGGTATTTTCAAAGCATAGACTGCCTTGTGTATATTGCTTGTTTGGTTTATAAAGAAGTTGTTTATGTTCATTTGCGTTCTTTACTTGATCTTATATGTCTGTCGACAAATGTTTAGGGATGTGCTAGTGAAGGAATGTTTACAGGAGGGTACCAAGTTAGTTCAAGAAATTGCAGATAGTCTTTTTAACTTGCCTTCAACTGAAGATGTAGATGGACCACTTGTGCAGCTGCCTCCCCCAACAACAAAACTTCCTAGGGAGAAGCATGTAAGCCTAGCCTTATAATTAATTCATTTTTAAATATGTAAATTTGGACTTCTGTAAGTAAAGAACAAGTGTATCCTACCAAATGAAATTGGATCTTTTTTTATTTGTTATTTATATGCATTGCAAAATTTAGTTTTAAGGTGCCGTAAAACCTGAAATGTTTTATCGTGCTTGTGCTTTCAGCTTCCGAAGCCTAAACCTCCCACAAAATGGGAAGAGTTTTCTAAAAAGAAAGGTAAGTCATTTCACCTGTCATCTGGCGTTTACATGGCTATGTTAGAATTTTGAGTTAAATCTCATTTTCCATTGGTCTGAAGATTCTCTATTTTTTTGGTTGTTCTCTTTTGAAATATCTTTTAGGTATAAAGAAATGTAAAAAAGACAAAGTTGTATGGGATGAACAGACTGGTACATGGAAACGTTGTTTTGGTTATGATCGTGTCAACAATGATAAAGATATACCAATCATCGAGGCCAAGATGACTGATGGTGAGTGATTAATGGATTGCTTTCCTTGGAAGAAGAAATAAACTTTACTTTTTCGTTGATCATGGTTTTTGCTATTTTGCAGAGCCAGGAGTGGATCCTTTTGCTAAAAGACAAGATGATAAGAAGAAACGAGTTGAGAAACAAGAGAAGAATCGCCTCCAGAACTTGAAACAAGCTGCAAAAATTGGTGTTTTGCCAAGGTTTTTCCTATCCATTGTAGTTTTCTATATGTAGAATCACAATTATTTTCGTCAATAAGAAATTGATAACTTAATCATATTTGAAATACTATTGGCATAAATAGCTCCTCTTAGCGTATTCTTTATCTAGCATCATTATGCTGCATTGCCTTCAAAGTTTCGTTTATACTATTCCTTTACACCCTAACATTTATGTCATTTTAGCACTTTAGGGGTTAGACTATGATTGCTGACTATGCTCATAGGAATTTCATATAAACATCAATGAGTTTGAAGTTGACTTTGGTTCTTTTCTGTATGCATTATTTCCATCCCAACTGCTCTTGATCTTTGGTTGAGTTTCATGTAATTGCTTCTCATCTGATTCTTGTAACTTCCAAGAGGATACTTAATCTTTTTGTTTGTTCTAGAGTTAGGAACACAGGCTCCTCCTAAGAAAGTTACGAAAGATGAATTAGGGAATGTAGCTGGGATGGCTGCTACTTCTACAGCTAGTGGTGGGAAATTTGATAGGAAGTTGCTGGGAGAAAAGCCTGTTAAAAAGCAAGGAAAGCATCGCAAGGTTTGCATCCTTGGCCTGTAAATATTTCTGATGAATTGTAATGGCATGCTCTAATATGGTCTTTTGTACTTTTGTTAGTTCTTACCTGTTGTCGAAAGATCAGGGATAGGCTCGCGAGAGAAGGAACAAACTGAGTGTGTTCTTAATAAGCTAATCTCTAAGCATTCCCATGAGATTCTCAATGTTAACAATGTATGTTTGAGCCATATGATTTGGCTAACATAGGTTCATCAGTTGATATTCCAAAATGGAAATGCATTTTTGATCTGAGAAGGGCTTTTAATTGAATTTCACGTTGTTTTTGAAATAAGGCTGTTACGATGTATAATGTGAAGAAATAGAAGAAAGGTAGGAATAAAAGGAATCAAGAAGGGAAGTCCTCATCAGCCCCAAACAAGTTGAAACCAAAAAAGAAACTTCAGAAGAAGACTTTAAAGAAAGGAGCAGGGTCTTCCAAGAAAGGGAAGACAAAATGAAATTATTAATCGGTTTCAGTAAAATCTTGAACAATCGCAATTTTTTTTTTGTTACTGGTTGAACAATGTATCAATTCATGTATTGCTTAAAGACAGGTTTAAATTTTACAGCATTCCTTCTGCTGACCCCTTGCTTCAAACAAACTAATTTTATGTTTCATCTCTCATCTTCTCCATCCATACCAATCTTTGCTTCACCCGAAAATTCTCTTCCCTGGTAATATCTCCATCTTCTCTATCAAGGTTATAATATTGAGTTAAATTTGACTTTCAAATAGTTCGACTTATGACCTTTTTAATTTTATTATTGTATTTACAATGATTAAAACTTTCAGATATTTTATGTATCATCTTCAGTCTATGTTTAACGAATATGTACTGCAATTTAAATTATGTTACCATTTTGGACCAAGCCTTGATATTATTATATTGAATTAAATTCAATTATTCAAACGTTTACGATCTTAATTCAGGCATTTAATAATTGATGTATTACACAAAAACAGAAACTGAAAGAAGAGTTTTGAAATATTAATAATATTTATTTAGTACCCGTCAGCTATTGGGTGTTTGAAATGGTAGACCAAAAATCCCCTTTTCCGTATGATTAAATTCCATGTCATTGAAAAAGTCGCACTTCGACACGTATCGGATTTGAACCAAATGAGAGCTAACACCCCAGAAAATAGAGAAAGGTCGTCGCATGGCATGACGAGACGAAGCAGGTCAGACGAAAGCAGCGGCGGACATACTTACCACACGACAAAGGCGGCTTCTCCTAGCGTGGATCCTCCTTCTCCAAAGGTATCTGGTTGTGGTTTTTGTGGGGTTTTTGGCAAACCAGATGCCGTCAAGAAAAGAAGATCAAACAAACGTAAGGCCTGATCTTTTTGAATGTGATACACAGCCCATTTCAAATTATATGTGTG